TTGGGCAGACGCTGCCCCTCACTGGTTTTGGGAATCAAGGTTACCCAGGCACCCGCCCTTGGCCTAGTTTCATCACCTGCCCACCTACACCTGTGCGGCCTTCGTGGGCTATCAGTGAAAGCGTCCACGCAAATGCCCAGAGCACTTGGCTCACAGTACGCACTCCACATCCATCTGCCTTAACCACAGACCCAAGGATGTCAGCGAAGAGAACCAGCAGGCAGCAACAGCGGGGTGAGGCCTCGGGGGGGAGGAAAGGCATACACAAGTGCATGGTAAGCCCCATGGAGGTAGGGGCCAGGCTGCTGGTCCTCACCACTGCAGGCCCGGACCCTGGAGGAGTGCCCGAGACTAGGAGGCTGTGCAATAGCGGACAGATGGGTACATGGATGGATGGATGGATGGATGGATGGTGTAGGGATTGGGGATGGATGGATGGATGGATGGATGGATGGATGGACGGACGGATGGAATAGGGATCGGGCAGCTGGGTGGCACAGTGGAAAGAGCACTGGCTCCTGGTCAGAAGTTCAAGTCCATGTCCCTCCAACTCCCAGAAGGACGCACAGCTTGACTGTGGCCCTCAAGTGCGAAATGAGAAGTTCGAACAGGACAGTCCTAGCTCTTCCGACCCCGACGCTGAGGGGCCAAGTTATGTGTGGTCTTGCCTGAGTCTTCCCTCCCCTACCGACTCTGCGTCAAACTGTCCGATTCCCTCATTTATCCCGAGCACGTCCAGCCCTTCTTCATCTCCAGGGCTTTCCCCGCGTTCCCCCTTTTCTCCCCCAGTGCTGAGAAAGCCCCCAAACCGTCAGCCCAGAAGCTAACAGGGTGAGAGTAAAGACCACCCCAGGCTCCAGTGAGTCCTCCCTCCTTTTCCTGGAAGCCCTCGCCAGCTGCCAATAGTATCTGGTAACCACCATTGTCTTCATTTCATACATCTGTCTGTCTGTCCCAGACAAACGTCCCCATCTACCGACCTCGCACACAGGAGGCCAAGAATCTCGGTAAGCAGTTCTCCATGTCACTGGACTTACAGGGGAGTAACTGAGCGCAGTAGATACAGCGCTGCTTTATTCCATCAGATTCATTATCTCACTTCTCGGAAAGGCAGCCAGCGTGAGCAGGACTGGGCTGGACGCGGCCCCCGGGCTCCCCGGGTGACCTTTCACTGTCACTTGGCCCAGGGCTCCTGAGGCAGCAGCGGAGACGGTGGAACACACTGCTTCCACTTCCAGAATCAGAGTGAAAGGGACAAAAAGGAAACTTAAGAGATTTCCAAACATCCGGGAGCTATTTTTGAAAATGAATGACTTTTCCATTCACTTAAAAAAAAAAAAAAAAAAGGGAAGGAAAGAAAAAAGAAAGATATTAGCCCCAAGAATAGACCAAGAAGTAGTTGTTGATCATTTAAATGGAAGAACATTCCTGCAGGAGTCCACCGCTCATGTCCTCAACATCAAGACACTCCCCCACGTTCATGCACACACTACCTAGAAATGAAAAATGGAGGAATCAGGACTTGTTTATCAGAAAGTTTCTAGAACACCAAAATAGACTGTGGGATAAATATAGTAAGCGTCCTATTAATTAATACTAAATGAGCGTTCCAAGAAGGTAGCAATCAGTGATGTCACCTGGCTCTGTTCTGCGGGGCTCCAACCTGGCAAACTCCAGGATTGTTCGCTCCTTAAAGCGACAGCCTGCCCCAAGGACTTACTATAGCCCCGGAATTCTTCCATGCAGTGCAGCCGCACCCGTCCTGTGAACACAGGGTCCCTAAAAGTGTTTGTGACGCCGTCATCTGGGCCTTCCACCATCACCGTGGTCATTTACACTGTTTGGGTCGCCAACGTGCCACGGCTCACCATGCTTCAGCTGCTCCAGGGTGGCACTGCCAGGAGTGGATGTGAAACCGCGCCGGAGCGCACGGCCCCTGCAATGGCACCCGGCTCCCCTCTAGGACAGACCAACACGGCCCCTCAGGGACACACGTATGGACGTACAGCCGTCGAGGGCACTGGGTTTTTCCAAAGGAAGCCAAAAGGTTCTCCCCTCATTTTCCACCTAAATGGGAAATACCTTTTTATACAGTGGTGACTGCACCCTGAGCTCATATATGTTAGAATCCCACAAAAGACTCACCCACAGGAACTACCCGCCACAGAAATGGTGCACTAACTCTATGTTTTTAAAGAAAGCTTTTTGGTATGATTCCAACAGCTCTGCAAAAGTATCCTCCCAGTGCTGACCTGCAGAGACGGTGCGTTTAAACCTAAGGGGGGTTCCGAAGCAAACCAAAGCGCTCTGCTTGGAAAGGCGGCCATGTTTGCAGCCACATCTGTAAAGACGTTCCCTGAGGCTGCAGCCTCTTTGTTGTGACTTGAAAAAGAACGCAGAGCCTCAGTAATTCACCGGCATGCCCTGAGCCCGCAACAGCAAGGGCTGTTAAACACAACAATAAGTGGAATGAACAGAAAACTCTAGAAGGGCCCTCGGGTACTTCACTTACAACAGTATACATTTTTAAACATATTTTATTGACTTTTTACAGAAAGGAAGGGGGAGGGATAGAGAGTTAGAAACTTCCGTCAGCTGCCTCCGGCACACCCCCTACTGGGGATGTGCCTGCAACCAAGGTACATGCCCTTGTCCGGAATCGAACCCAGGACCCTTCAGTCCACAGGCCGACGCTCTATTCACTGAGCCAAGCCGGTTAGGGCCAACAGTATATTTATACTATTGCAGTTCGTGCTCAATTACTTGACATATGAAATGTTTTAAGTCAGCAACAATGTGCGCCTCACCTACTACATCGAAATTCCTCCCTGATTTTGATTTCATTTTTCATTTTCTTGAAAACCCAGTCAACTTGCCTCTCTCTCTCTCCTGCCAGTTCTGTCTTTGGAAGCCGTTTGGGGAAAGTCCTCATTTCTTGAACACCGTTTTCTGATCACATGAATCAAAGGGGGTTCTAACTGCATAAGGAGAAAATGCGCTCCCACACAGTTTTTTCCATATCATAAAGCAAGTCGGACTTTACAGGACAACCGGTCACCTATAAAAAACCGGCAGGGCTCTGTTTTGAAAGAAGAAGAAGAATGACTATTACACCATTTACACCCTTCAGAGACTCCCCTTCACTGTTTGCGGCTTGCCGAACATTCCATACATATTTCGGGCAAGGTATTATGGGAGCTGCAGCCCAAGCTGTCCCCTGCTGAATTTTCACTCGCTATAAAAACAATGTCTCATAAACGTATACACATGTTTTTACTTTACCAAAAATGTAAAGTATCCACTGGTGTTCACTCAGACGACACGTTGGGCATCAGAAACCAGGCTTTTTTAAATGTCTGCAAGGGAAGGGGGTCATTGAGTAGCACAGGTTTCTGGGGGAGAAAGCAGGCAGCGTGCATGAGTGCAGAGCTCATTGCCGGAGGGTCTGCTCACGTATGTGCTGGGTCCCTCCACACACAAGGCAATGCTTGAACGTATGCTTTTTACCCTGAACCCCCACTCCAGTGGAACCACCCCTGTTTTATATTACCCTCATAAAACGCGCCTCAGCCTTTGCTAAGCAAAAACGCTCCTCTTAATTGGTTCATTTTCCAGTTGTTTGGGTTTTTAACACACACACAGCAGAAAAGGGCAGCGCATTCCAAGCAGTTCTAGCAATTCCAGAACCATCCGAGGCTGGATCAGACAGCTGTGGCCCTGGCCTCTGGTTAAAATTATAATATGATCTCACCTGATTTTCAAAATAACTAAGCATCCTTTTAACCCATACAGCCGTGCCAGCCCTGACTGCATTTCTGAGTCCCGGGTTTGCAATGCTCAGGGCACCACGTCGCTTCTGCTTAGTGGGGCTTTGTTTTGCTTTTCCCTGTCTGAACCCAGAAAAACGCTTCCAACAATAATTCTAGCAGCTTCCCTCCCGAGGCTCTCTCTGGCAGCGCCAGGGCCAGGAGCGCTGGGCAGGTAGGCGGAAGCGGGCGCGATGTCACACCACGCTCGGCCTTTTCAAGTCTCCAAGTCCCGGGGAAGCCGGAGTGTTTTCTTTCTGGCACTGGGGCCGGGACCGAATTTTCTCCAGACAGGACAAGATCTCAGATAACCGGGGGAACACTCGGGTTCACCAGCATTCCCGAGCCCACGAAAACTGCATCTCAGCAAAAGCAGCCGAGCCATTGAAAGGGTTCAAGAAAAGCTCCATTCCCCGCGCTTAATTACATGCAAGAATTCGTGTCTGACTCCATACGGCTGATTTGCATGAATAATAAGACAACCTGGTGCCCTATTCACTGCTCGCACAAAGGGGGGACCTCAAATTCAGCCCTTGTTTTCCGTTTCTCCCCAAAGCATCTGGGTCTAATCAGCCTCCCTCTGGCCGCGCACACAGGCTGTTTCCATCGGGACTCTCACTCGGGGTTTGAGGCGCTGCGGAGTCACTACCCATCGGCTGGGAAGAGGCTCCCTCAGCTCCCCGCGATCTGGGAGCCCCAGGGGTGTCCCCCCTGGCAGCGCTCGCTGCATGGAACCCGGGCTGAGCCGCCGGACGAAGCCGCACCGGCGAGCGGGGCGCGAGTCCGTGCTCCAAGGTGACAGCTCCGCGGCCGCCGCGGGCCGGGGTGCTCCCGGGGCCGAAGCGGGGCGGTGGGCCGCAGAGGCCCGGCGGGACTGGGCGAGGCGGCGGCGGAAAGAGGAAAAGAGGGCCATCCGTCAGCCCCGGGAGAGGAAATTCCCGGCGCCCAGCTCCCCGGCGCCGGTCCCGGGTGACGTGGGGGAACCCGGTCGGTGCGTCCGCCGCGGCGGGGGCCGGAGGAGGCCGAGGCCGGGAGAGGAGGCGCCTCGATCCTCGGCCCGGGCCCCGGGGATGGGCACACGGGGCGCCCTGCTCATCGCCCGACCCGGAGACCTCCCGGGGCCCCCGAACCTGTGTCTGAGCCCCAGGAACGGGGCGTCCGGGCGCTGCCCGGGCCCCGCGCCGACGCCCTTACCGGTCCCGGGGGTCGATCCACGACGTCTGGCGCGTGTTGTGGTCGATGTAGAAGACGCGGCCGTCGTAGTCGCGCGCCTCCTCCCAGCCGGCGGGCAGCGGCAGCTCGGCGCTCTCGCGGGCCCGCAGCGGCGCGGGGGGCGCGGGGGGCGCGGCGGGCGCGGGCGGCTCCCGCGGGGTCTGCACGGACGGCGGCTCCCGCGGGGCCTCGCGCGCCTGGCCCCGCCGCCGGCGCCCGCCGCTCAGCCAGGGCATGACGGCGCGGGCCCCGCCGCCCGGCCGCCCCGCGCGCGACGCCTCCTCCGCCAGCACTACGGCCCGCGGCCCGAGGAGCGGGGGCGGCCGCGGGGAGCCGCCCGCCGCGCCCGGTGCATCCTCCGCCGGGCGCCCGAGCCCCGGCGCCCGCCCGCCGCCCGCTGCTCCGGCGCGGGGCCGCGCGCGCAGCCAGCCGGCTGTGTCCGGGTCGTGCGAGTCGCTGTCGCGCGGCGGGTCACAGCCCCGGAGCGGCGGCCACCCCCGCTGCGGGTGACTCCTCGGTTCCCGCGGCGCGCCCGGCCATCTTCGTTCCGCGGCGCGGCCCGGCCGGGAGGGGCGGGGCGTCGGCGGGCCACGCCCCCGGCCCGCCCCCCGGCCCGCCCCCTCGCGCTCCGTTCCCAGGCCCGCTGCAGCGCCTTCCATCTCCGCCGGCTGTTCCGCCTCTGGTCTCCCTCGGGGCCGCTCTGCGAGCCGCTCCGTTCCTCTACCCTCAGCCCCCACCCGGTGCACAGCTTCTCCTCCTCCGACCCGGCCGGCGGCTCTTTTTCCCCCCCATCCATAACACTCCTCCCCCCGGGCCCGCGCTCCTCCCTCTCCCCTCCCGCTCTCCTCCCGCTCCACCACCTCCTCCGGCCTCCGCGGGAAACCGCACGGGGGCCAGGATGGGCGCCACCGCGTCCGTCCGCCCCCGGGCCGCCGCCGGGGGGAAAGGGGGTCTCAAGGACGGCGCCCCACCCGGGCTGCAGGCGGGCCTGACTCCTTGGGGCACAAACAATTCCCAGGGGGACAGGGAGGTCACCTGACTGCACCCAGTCCCCGGGGCCTGGGGCCTCCCCTCTGCTTTTTGGGGGTTCGGGGGAGCTGTACCCCGAGTCTCCCTAATCGCAAGGTGGTCTCGAGAAAGAGGGAGCTGGTAGCTGGAGGAGGAACCCGAGGCCCGGCCCTCCTGGGTGGCAGGAGCTGGGCAGGTGGCCACTTGGTGGCCTCGGAGAGCCCTGGAGCGCTGGTCCGGAATCTGCCCTGAGCTGCCCTGAGCGTTTCTGTCTGCGGCTAGAGGATCCCATAGTGAGCGCAGAACCAAGTGGGCTGGGGAGCGAGCCACTTCCACCCCGAAAACACGAACCCTCACTGACCATGTATGTCCCACTCACAGCTCATAGCGGGGAGAACTGAAGTCCAAAGCTGGGGTTCTCTCTGACTCCAAAGCCCCTCAGCCAGTTAAAACTGCAGATCCCTGGCCCAAGACTCAATGTCAGGAAAATATCAGCGAGGTTCTAAAACCCTATTAACAGTGATGCAAAGCTCCCCAGGAAAACCCTCCAGGCGGCCGGTGTGGCTCAGGGGCTGAGTGGCCACCCAGGAACCAGGAGGTCACGATCCGATTCCCAGGGCACGTGCGAGAGGCCCCCAATCCACGATTCCCTCTCGTCGCTGATGTTTCTCTCTCCCCTCTCCCTCCCTCTCTGAAATCAATAAAAACGTATTTTTGAAAACCCTAAGAGGGATTCACATGGAGATACACAGGACTAGAGGGAACCGGTCCAAAATGCTCGCAGCCATTTATTTGCATTCCTTTTAGGGGGGAGGGTTTTGTTTTTTTTAAAGCCATTTACCTTCCAAACTGTTTGTAAAATGATCATATCGCTCTCAGAAGGGGAAAGTTGTTTGTAAAAAGACTGGGAAGGCATGGACACTGCTCGTGGGGACACATCCAAGGAAGGCCTCTCCCCCTCCCCCCACACCGCACAGCTCCCTGCTGCCCCCGTGTCTGTCCCGCCCAGTGTCTTACCGGCAAATGCTATAACCAGTGAAACCTGCGCACTTATGCCCTGGCCGCAGGGGTGTGGGGGGAGCATCTGAAAAGCAAATACTTGGCGATTTTCAGTTGCAGGGAGAGCCCAGTGCAGAGCGCCCTGCTCTGACACCTCCCCCCCCCCCCCCCCCCGCCCCATGGGCATGTTTAATGGCCGAAAAGACTGCCACTGCCTTGTCTCCCCCTCTCCCTGCCCCGCCCCCCCCACACACACACCTTACCACCCTACATGGCCTGGCTAGAGCTGCGCCCTGGCCCTCCCAGGCGGTATATCAGCTCACAGTGTCACAAATCTGGGCGCTCCCGCTGGAAACGGCCCTGGATGGGGCCGCGGCGTGTTGGAGGCCAGCCAGCCTCTGCGGGGGGGAGGCGGAGAGGAAGAACGTCCCGCTCAGGGGGACAGAAGGAAGGACACGGGGGAAAGTATCCATAAAGACGAAGGGGTTGGGGGAGCCCCGAGGGGGCCAGGTGTGAGGACGCACTGCAGACCTACTACGTGCAGGCATCCATCTTGCTGGTGGTGCGGTGCTGCAGAGAACAGGACAGTCTGTGCCCGCCCCACCGCCTGGGTCAGCCGCTGGACAAAGCAACAGGCACTGAGGACTGCGGCTTGGCTACCAATCCGAGGCTCTGGAGGCCTTGGGAGACCTAAAGGAAGCCTTCTTGGATGAGGAAACTGAGGCTCCGGTCTTGGGATTCCGGAATCCAGAGCCCTTATTCCTGGCTCCTGGAGCTGCTGTCATCAAACCGTCGCTGATTTGCATAACAGATGCGGCGCCCCACCCAGCTCTCCTCCGGGCCCGCAGCCTTTGAGAGGCTGGGCCTGGGCTGACAGGCTCTCAGGTGGCCACCCACCCCTCAGAGACCCTGTCTGCACCTGGACAGCCCAGCCCCCCTACCTTGGTGGGACCCCCGCTACTGCACCTCACAGGTCTTCCCTGGCCGCCCTGGCTTTGCCAGCTCCTCCCTGCCCCAGCAGGCCTCTCCCCTCCATCAGCTAGCACCCCGTTCGCTCACTCACTGGCATGAGAACCCCCTCCGCAGGCAGAGCGTCGCTTCCAGGAGGCCTGGCCTGAGAGAGCGGGCAGGCTGCCTCCCTGGCATTTAGCAAATATGAACGGTTTGATCATCATAACAACAAATCCCGCATCTCCAGCGGCATTTGCACGGGAATAGAGAGCCCAGCGGTGAGACAGCCGGCCGGGGGGGGGGGGGGGGGGGGGCTCATGCAGCCCTCTCCGCAGCCCCAGGCCTCTGGGACTCCGCTACGTGAAGGAGGCCCAGCGTATCTGCCTCCTAAGTGAGCCGGCTTGCAAGGAGCCAGAACGTGGGGAGACCGAGGCCTGCCCGTCCCACCATCCGTCCTTTGGACTTGGAATATTGGTCCAGGCCGCGGCTGGTGACCCCTAAAGACCCATGCGGGGGAGGGGGGTGCAAGAGAAGTCTGTTGGGGGGGAAGGGACTCCCCAGCTCTGCCCCAGAGAGGGAGTGCGTGTGCGTGTTATTGTCAGGGAGAAGAAGGGCCGTCTTTCTTGCAGGCAGCGGGGCTTTCCATGTTGCACGGCGAGCACATGCGCACACAAAGCGCTGGGGAAGGACTCCCGGTCTTAGCCGAGCGCACAAGCATGCATTCTTTATGGCCCCCGCTAGAACCGGCCTGGCCGGCAACAAAAGCGCAAACATTGCAGACCTCTCCTCCCGCCAGACCCCTCTGCTCCCGCCCGGACCCTCTCCTCCTGCCCGGGCCGCTGATGGAAACGGCGCAGGGAAAGCCCACTCGGGCCCCCGGTAATCAAGACGCAAATAATTGTCCTCCACCCGGACCCTCCGGGAACCCCCTCGTGGAATATTTTCTTTAAGATGCTTGTGAGGGAGTCAGTCCAACTCCCTCCCCGCATGCCAGACCGGCGCACGGAGCCTGAAGAATTTTACTCTCAATTAGATTCGGCCTGCGCTCCCGCCCCTCTTCCCTTTTAAAGGGGAGCCTTTGTTTCCAGGAGGAAGGTAGGAGCTGCAGGCACGCACATTCGGTGCTTGAGAGGCTGGGGGGAGTGGGGGGGGTGGGGGTGGAGGGGTGGGGGGTGGCGATCAGCGCTGTGGAACGGCCTCAGCGTCTGGGCGGGGAGGGATAAACACCACGGACAGGTCGCGCTCACTCGTGTAAACAATCGCGTGTTCTAGGAAGTGACACATCGGGTGATTCCGCACAACGTGCTAAGAGGGAAACGGAAACGGGCCGATTGGGTCCGAAGAAGAAACGGCTCATTGTTTGGCATTCTTCGGATGCTGGGCTCATGACTCGGTTCTGGGCGCTCTGCGCACGGTATTTGAATCATGCAAATCCCCAGCTTGGGAGGAGCTCAGATGTGGTGCTGGCTCCTCCCCCAGGCGGGCTTGGGGACTGGGAAGAGAGGCACCCCGAGATCCCCAAGCCCACACCTCTCCCCGGCTCAGGGGGCGGCTGGGGAAGGAGCCTTCGCTTCACGCCTTTGCCTCTTGAGCTTGGCGCTTATCGGCTTGTGATGGGCAAAGGCTTTGTGTACATCTGGTGTGCAGAGGGGGGACTGGACTGCCTTGATTTGCGGCTGCGGCCTATCCTGGGTGACGGCGAAGTGTTTTGTCCTTTGCTAATGCCCGCTGGGCACACAGGGCACTGGGGCAGAGTCCTGGGCTGGGCCAGGCAGCTGCACTGGGTCCGCGTCCGTGCCCCAGCCTGCGCTGTGTCTGTCGGCTTCTCCGAGCAAAGCGATGTCCTTGGAGTCAGGTCAAGGCCATCCTGTTGTAGGTGGCCTCCCTTTGCACCTGGGCTACTCAAATTCGGGTTTAAAAAATGTTAGTGCAATTTCCCTCCCAAACTTAGAACGCTCACCACTTCCTTCCTCCCCGTCTGCGCTCCCACAGCTACATCTCTACTCCTTTCCCTTCCCGCCGTGGCCCCCCCAACACACACACACACACACACACACACACACACAGTGCTGCGAGCCAGTGGGAAACGGGTCCCAGGCCAAGCTCCGTTTCGGGAAGACGCAGCTGCCATGAGCCAGCCTACCGCACCACACTGCCTCCGGCCGGCCCCTCTCCTGCGTGGGGCTCTGACTCTGGTCCCCTGTGTGTTTGCAAAAACAGATTCTCAAGCTGCAGGCCTCTGCTTGCAAGCCAAGCGGAGCAGCTTGGAAGTCTCGGG